CGTCGACGTCGGCGTCGTCGTCGTCGCCGCCGCCGTCGTCGTCGTCGTCGTCGTCGGCGTCGTTGACGTCGTCGTCGTCGTCGTCGGTGTCGTCGTTGTCGTCGTTTTCGGCGTCGTCATCGTCGTCGTCGTTGTCATCGTCGTCGTCGGCGTCGGCGTCGTCGTCGTCGGTGTCGTCGTCGTCGTCGGTGTCGTCGTTGTCGGCGTCGAAGTCGTTGGAGACGTCGCCGGTGTCGTCGCCCAGCTGGTGCCCAGCAGTCAGCGCCACCGCGGCCGCATCGGTCGCGCCAAACTAGGTGGCCGCTGCGCGCGCGCGCTTGGGTTGGCGCGGCCGCAGACATGGGCCAGCTAACTCCAAACACTCATTGCAATCGTCACCACATGGGTTTTTCAAGCCAAGTTGCGGGTGGGTGGGTGGGATGTTCGCAAGAGCGTGGGATGTGCTAACTCGTTTGTTTAAAAACGGTTCTCATTTCTAAAAAGAGAATTGACTCCACCCCACCCCTCCTGGCGTTATCCGCCTCGCTTTCGGGTATGTAAATCATATATGATTCTGACCACATGTCCATCTTAAATATGAATTTACACGATCCCAGGGGAACCGGTATCGCCCCCCCCCGCCATCCTTTCAAACAAATAGTATGCGCGCGCACTCGTTTATCAAAAATCAGAAGTTTCCACGAATCCCTTGCAAAAAACGCGACGAAGTGCACACGCGCGCGTCGTCGCGCGCTTGTCGAAATCCTTCAAAAACCTTCGGTGTCGGAAGGATTTCGCAATCGAGTTTCCAAAACACATACAAAAACACAGGGTTTCGCAACACTGATGTGCTGAAGAAGCTTACGCGCGAGCTCTTGCGAAACCCTAAGAAAACCATAGGTTTCTCAAGATTCTCACAACATGCTACCAAACGGGCTTCGCGCGCGCATGTCAACATCTGTCGAACGCCCTTGCGCGTGTGCCGTCGAGAGAATCCTTTCTGCGAAAAATGGGACGCAGTGCAGACGCGCGCGTCGTCGCGCGCGTATGCCGAAATCCTTCAAAACCCATCGGTTTCGGAAGGATTTCAAAATCGTGTGTCAAAAAACTTACAAAAACACAAGGTTTCGCAACACGGGTTTTCAACAAAAGTGTGCACGCGCTCTTGCGTCGTCGTCGTCGTTGTCGCCGTCCTCCCTCCTCCCGCGTCGTCGTCGTCGTCGTCGTCGCCTACGTCGTCCTCTGTTTTTCCTCGTGTTCGTCGTCGTCGTCCTCTTTGGCGTCGTGGTCGTTTCCGTCGTCGTTGTCGCCGTGGTCGTCCTTCCTCCTCCTCCCTCGTCGTCGTCGTCGTCCGTCGTCGGCGTCTCGTCGTCGTCCCTCCTATCGTCGTCGTCGTCGTCGTCGTCGTCGTCGTCGTCGTCCTCCTCCCTCGTCGTTGTCGTCGTCGGCGTCGCCGTCCTTCCTCCTTCTTCGTCGTTCGCGTCGTCGCCGTCCTCCCTCCTCCCTCGTTGTTGTCGTCGTTGTCGTTGTTGTCGTCGTTGTCGCCATCGTCGTCCTCCCTCCTCCCTCGTTGTCGTCTTCGTTGGCGACGTCGTCGTCTTCGTCGTCGTCGTCGGCGTCGTCGTCGTCTTCGTCGTCGTCGGCGTCGTTGACGTCGTCGTCGTCGTCGTCTTCGTCGTCGTTGTCGGCGTCGTCGTCGTCTTCGTCGTCGACGTCGGCGTCGTCGTCGTCGCCGCCGTCGTCGTCGTCGTCGGCGTCGTCGACGTCGGCGTCGTCGTCGTCGGTGTCGTCGTTGTCGTCGTCGTCGGCGTCGGCGTCGTCGTCGTTGTTGTCATCGTCGTCGTCGTCGTCGGCGTCGTCGGTGTCGTCGTCGTCGTCGTTGTCGGCGTCGTCGCAGTCGTTGGAGACGTCGGTGTCGTCGTAGTCGTTGTCGGCGGCGGCGTCGTCGTCGGTGTCGCTGTCGTCGTCGGCGTCGCTGTCGTTGCCAAGTGCCAGTTGGTAAAGAGATTTTGCAAACCAAGTTGCGGGAGGGTGGGTGGGATGTTTGCGCGAGCAGTGGAGGTGGTCAGGCGCAGTGCAGGGTAGTCAGTTCCACAACTTAGATTGCACCACCCAAGAGCAGACATTGCTCCACATATGTTGCACGCCGTAGATTGTTAGAAATGCACCATGTGGGGCCCACGCGGGCGAAATTTCGTACGATTGGTATTATTATCGTTTTTGTTACTATTACCCAGGGTATTGTTTTCAAGCGCCCAATCGTATCCCCAGCTGTCATACATTATGTTTGAAGGAGCGCGTTGTGAGTCATCTGTGGTCGCTTGCAGGGGGGGGGGGCTGACTCCCCCAAGACGGGGTGGAGGGGGGGTACGACCTCGCCGTTCCCTCCCCTCTCCAGCGCAAGGCAGGAGGGAGGGGGAGGTGTTTCCCCCCCCCCCCACCCTTCCCTCACGCAAGGAAACGACGACGTCGCCAACGACGACGAGAGAGTGACACCGACGACGACAACGACGACGATGATTGACTAGCGATGACGAGTGATTATCGGCGGCGGCGATGATGGCGAGTGATGGCGACGACACAGGACGAATGTCAACGACGATGTCGAGTAATACGACGATGACGACGACAGCGAAGATTGGTGACGAACCACGCTTAGTGCCGACGGGGGCGACGGCGACGACGACTACGACGACCAGCGACGACCCGCGACGATGGCCGACGACGTCGAGGAACGATTGCAACAACGAGTAACGGAGGACGACTGGCGACGACGCGAACGACATTGGCTGAGTCATGATGACGACGACGACGAACGACGACGTCGACAACGACGAATCCACACCGCCACGACGATGTCGGCGACGACTGGTGGCTAGAAGTGGCGACGACGAGACGATCACGACGACAAGACGATCACGACAGTGACGAGCTCGACGACGACGACACTAAGATCCAAGCAACGCAGCGAACACAAGCAATGGACCCATGGGAGGCAGATCCGAGCATGCAAGCGAATGCGCAGAGCCTCCATGAAAATAATCGCACACATCGGAAGAACGTGCTTGACAAACGCTGGAGTATCTGGAGCAGATCCAGCCAGGCTTAGGCAAGCCTCAGCACACGCGTGCAGCTCGCAGCAGCTGTGAGGACCGCAGGCGGGTGCATGCAATGCCCCCCCTGGCGCGTCTCTGGCGCCGTCCCCGCGCCCACCTGGGAGCTTCTGGGCCTCGTCGCCCCTCCCCACCCCCCCCACAGAGTCCACCTTGCTGGCGCCCTCCCCCCACCGTAGGGTGCCTTGCTAAACGTGGCGGACAGAGCGTGGAGCTCAAAAAAAACAGAGTCCGCCATCCCCCGAGGAGCAAATTGAGGGCTGCACCTCCCCCCAGAAGCAAACATGTAGAGGCCGCGATGGACAGATGCACGTGATGCGGAGAGAAAAACGAAGGGCACGGCCCAAGAGGGAAGCACGAAGGGCGCGAGGGGAGCAGAATGGGTCCCCCCTCCCCTGCGCCTTCAAAGTCAGTCGAGGCAGGGGGGGGGCCTTTCACTTTTTGACTGCGCATCTCCTCCCCGACCTGGCGTGGATAGAGGACTTGCTCGATGAGCTGAAGGTTCGAAAGATTTTGGAGATCAGGGGGGGTGCATGTCCATTCAAGCAATGACGAAGGATACCGTCCTGCTTGTAACCGTGCCAACGCATGCCATTAGAAGCTGTCAGAACCCTTCCGATTCCGATGGTACTTTGAACAGCGGGTTGATGTGGTGGGAGCGTTGGTTTTCTTGCGAGAGCGTTCTTGTCTTCCCAGAGCACGTCGTGGTATGGCTACGGGCAGACGGTGGCGGTCGTTCTCTGTTCGAGCAACCGTGGAAAGAGCTCGGAGGTTGGAAGGACGGCAGGCCCATCCAGGAGACGGGCGCGACGGCGAGGGCGCAGACGAAGCCGTTTGCGGGGGCTCGTGCGGCGGCGTAGGCGAAGTCGTCGGCGAGGGCGTTAGGCGGTGGCGGGGGTGTTGGCGGGACCTTAGGCGATGACGGAAGCGAAGCCGCCCGTGAGGGCGCATGCGAGGACGCGTGCAGCCACCCAGAAGTGTTTCAAGCGGTAGTTGCCTCTATACGCCTGTCCTGAAATGCAAAGCGTACCGTGCTCAAAGTGTTCGTGCCAATACGCTGCGTGTTGGCTCAGCGTATTGGCCCACGTTTTGGCGAACGTATCGCGTCAGACCTACGTTTCGGTCTGCGTGTTGAGCTCTGTATCAAGACGTTAAGTGTTTCGTGATGCGTATCGGGGCAGCAAAGACGCGGATCGATTGTGAAGGCCTGACGGCCGGTGCCGCCGACCCTGAAAGACATCGACGACGACCAGGGGGGGGAGGAGGAGGAGAAGGAGGAGGAGGAGGAGGAGGAGGAGGAGGCGGAGATAAGGAGGAGGAGGAGGAGGAAAAAGAGGAGGAGGAGGAGGAGGAAGAGGAGGAGGAGGAAACGGAGTCCCCCCTCGGCCCGCCCCCCCTGGGAAGGAGGACCGGAGGAGGACTGGCGTGGGAGAGGGGAGGGGAGCAGGAGGAGGACCCCCAGGGACGGATGCGTATCTGACTCCTCTCCCCCCCCCACGGGACCCGAGGAGGACCGGCGCGCCAGAGAAGGACCAGCGCGGGAGAGGAGGACCCCCAGAGGCGGTGCGAATCTGACCCCCCGCCCCCCCGGCACCCCCTGCCCCGCCGGGGAATGGACAAAGGGAAGGGGCTTCCCTTTGACGTAACGTGGACGTGGATGGAATTCCCTCACGCTGCGAACCCGTTTCCCGAACGAAGAAGGATGCTTCTTTTTTGTTTTTTCTCTCTCTCTCTCTCTCTCTCCGCCCCGACGGGAGAGGAGGATGGGAAGGAGGGGACGAAAGCAGGCTCCCCGTCGACGGGACAAGACCGAAACCCCACACACGCCGACAGGGTCGGCGGTTTCGGTCGACCTCGGCTGCCCCGGGCCCATCCAAGGGCGATCCGAGAAAGCATCGGCGAGTGGAGGCCCTCTGGCTGCTACTACGCCGACATGGCCGGCCTCTTCCTGGCCGAGCACCGGGACGGCGCCGTGCCCGCGTCGAGAGCCCGCTCGCTGCTGTGCTCCACGGCCGGGCGCCCGGTGAGCTCTGAGCTTTGCCTCTCTCCTCCTCTCCTCTCGGGGTGTAGCTCCCGTCGGCCGCGAGCGACGGGGGGAAGCGAGAAGGAGAAGGCCTTCTCAGACAGCTCGGAAGTCCCCCGGCCTTCTGAGAAGTTTTCAAGGGCTCCCCCGAGGCATCGAAACCTTCTCAGAAGGCGCGAGGGCTTCTGAGAAGCCCCGCCGCCTTCTGAGAAGGCCGTCTCCTTCTCACTTCCCCCCCTCGCGCGCCGCCGATCCCGGGAAGAGAAATTCCGCATCGGCGTTGGTATGCCCGTGGTCGAACAACGGCCTCATCCAGAACATTCCCGCTTAATGCCGCTGGGTCCTTAAGGTCTAATCCAGAACATTCCCGCTTAATCCCGCTTAATCCCGCTTAATACAGAATTCCCGTTTAATCCCGCTTAATACAGAATTCCTGCTTAATCCCGCTTAATGCTGTTTATCCCGAACATTCCCGCTTAATGCCGCTGGGCTTAGCCGGGTCTAATCAAGGTCAGTGCCCCCCTGATCTGGCTTTGTAGCCTTTCACCGTTCTTACGAAGACCTCCCAGAGTTGCCTCCGATCTCCTCCTCCTCCTCTTCCTCCTCCTCCTCTTCCTGAAACGCATCATTGACAAGCAAGACTCGAGTTCGCAAGAAGTCGAGGTTGCCTACTCTTTTCGACGGTCCCAACATGGGTTTTGACAGTCCAGTCTTCGTGAAATGTTCGCCTGAGGGCTCGCTTCAGATTCTTCGGCTTACGCCACACCGCCGACACTTTGGGGAACTGGCGGTTGTTGCGTGTTGCTCCTGAGGGCCTCTTGTGCGCCTTCTGGGGGCTTCTGAGAGCTACTTTGGAGCTGCATAGGGGCCTCCTGGGTGCCTTTTCGGGGCCTGTATTCGCCGTGCACGCGTGGGGAAACGGGCGAGAGCCCACGTATACAGACGGCGGGCATTTGTCAAAACACCCGAAGAATGATTATCGAAGACGCCTACGGCGAATCACCGCCGCCCCCTGCCTTTTTGGAAGCGCCTATGTGGCCGAACGTTGGAGGCCAGACCTGCCAAGCTATCGGACCACGTGTTCCCCGAATCGGTTTGGAAAGCCTTCGGGGAACACGTGGGCATCTTGAAGGTCATCTTGGCCGTCTTGGAGGCCTCTTGGGCAAGCTTTGGGCGATCTTTGGGGCTTTTTGGGCCGTCTCGGGCCAGCTTCGAGCCAACTTCGGCCATCTTGGTGGGTTCGAAGAATGATTATCGGATGGCCTTCGGCAGTTCCCGCCACCGTGCCTGGGTTGCGGGTCTGAGGGCACTCGGATGGCTGACGGGGTCTCGTGGAAAGCGTCTCGGGAGCGTCTTGGAAGCAGTTTTTGAACCTCTTGGGGCCATCCTGGTTTTTGCTGCCATCTTGGGGCTCCCCGGGAGCCTATTGGGAGCTTCTTGGGGCAACCCGGAGGCGTTTTGGGGTGGAAGACTCGAAGTGTCCGTTCGGGTTCCCCCTCTGGGCCCCCTCTTGGGGCTGTCCTGGGGCCCTCCTGGGCCGTCCTGGGGGCGTCTTGGGCCGTCTTGGGGCCCTCTTGGGTCGTCTTGAGGCCCTCCTGAGGGCCTCTTGGCCCGTCTTGGGGCGGTCTTGAAGCCCTCCCGGGCCGTCTGGGACGTTGTGAACGCCCAAGAAGCGAATGTGCTAAAGATGCACGTCTTCCAAAGGGAATGGGACGATGTTTGCTTCTGGAGGCCCTCTTGGGACGCCTCCTGGGGGCTTCTTGGGGCCGTCTGGAGGCCAGCGCGGGCGTGTCGGATCGGTCACTCAGCGACCCGTGGCTCTCGTGGACCGCCCCACGAGCCTCTTGAGGCCCTCTTGGCCTGTCTTGGGGGCCCTCTCCCCCCCCCCCGCGGGTGCGCGCTCCAGGGGAGCCCCCCCCCCCCTTCCAAATCGGCCGGACCAGGCTCCCGGGGAGGGGTTTGGGGAGGGGGGATCGTGTCGCACGCCGATGAGCCCCAAGGGGTCGGCGTGTGTGCGGGAGGGCTATGGTGGGTCCCTTCAGTATGCGTCCCGACGGCTTCAGCAAGCAAATTTCAGTCCGTCAAACTCGAGTCTTACGTCTCTCCAAGGGTAGGGTGCTCCGCGAACATTGCCTCGCCTTCGAAGCATCGAGAGGTGGGAAAGAGTTGTGGAGGACGATCAATGGAGAGGAAGCATGTTGGCAAATAATTTCCAAATGTCTAACATGTTTTAAACATGTAAAAAACATGTTTTGAACATTTTTCCGGCTTTCTAAACACACTTTAAACTCAATGGTAGGACTGTCAGGGTGTCCATTGTCGTGGCATCCACACAACCAGTGGGGGGGCCCCCCCTGAGATGCAAGGGGGAGGGGGCTTCGAACCGGGGGTCCCCCCCCCCTGAGTTGCAGGGGGGGCGGGGGGGCTCGAACCAGGGCGGGGACCCCCCCCCCGAGTTGGCAGAGGGGGGGCTCGAACTGGGGAGAGG